TCAAAGACCAGGAGAAGACAATAGTAAAAAAGTTAAAAGGAAAAGATAAGATCTGATAAGATTTAAAATCTGATTTGATCTTATCAAAAATAGTTTAAAGCTCTGTAGGACCCACTTGGTCCATTATTAATGTAGGACCCACTTTTGGGGTCCATTTTCCTTCCCTTTTGCCTATATAAGAAAGACTAACTCTTAGGTGAGGGACAAGTCTTTCCAAGTTTAGTTTTAAGTTTTCATCTTTCACTCCCTATTGTAAAAATATTCTAGTATGATATAATAAAAACTTTGGTTTAAAGATCTCTGTTCAAGGTATTATTTTATTTCTTATTATTATCTTTCCTTGTTTGCCGCCTCCATGGCCGGCTAAAGTTATTTTCATATCTATGCTAACTTCATAAGATCTGTATGATGTTCTTATTTACTATCTGGATCTAACTAAGTTATAATGCATTCATATTATAGTTCTTTATTCTTTTATCAGAAGTTTTGACTTGGTTTCAAGGTGGTGGAAAATTTTAAATATTAATGATAGCGAGCAGGTGGTATTTGTAAGTCCCCGTTTGAAGTTAGGGGCAACCTAAAACCCTTGTTAAAACTGCTATCAATTAATGTTTAAGATGATCTCCCATGCTTGAGTAAAAAGGTTACCATACAGCCGAAACTTAGGATAAAACTTTAAAAATAACTATAATACGTAGCATATTATAACCTGGTGTACATAGCTAGATCTGGATGGCCGTGCGGACTACCGCCAGCTTATAGATCCTGAAATGGTTTGTCCCAATTATTAAAGATAATCTTTTCTTCTTTTTATTCATTTTAATTAATTAGATATGTATAAGATTTATCCTTATTATTAAATAGCTATATAAAGTATTAGTAGTAAAATTAATCGAATTTTCAAAAAATAATTGTTAAAATAATATTATAAAATAAAATCCTAATATATAAATATTGCCTCCATTGTAATATAAGTGTCACTACCAATTTTTTATCCTAAAAATAATGGTCACCTTAGAAATGAAGACAAAACTAATATAATTTTCCAAATATATCTTTATATTTATATTCTTAAAAATATCCAATTTTGAAAAGGGATTTACCAAATAGGGGTAATTTATTAAACTACGTATTATAGTTATAATTTTTTTGGTTAACATAATTTTTCTAAATTGATACTTAAAATGTCTGACATTGTTATTGGGAGGTTAAAAATGTTTTTTTTATAAAAAATATTTTTTATATAAAAATACATGTTTTTTTTGAAAATCAAGTGCTTGAAATATCCTTCAAACTGCTTTTAAATGGTAGTAGAAATAGTTTTTTGTACCGTTGAAAAAAAGCTAAAAATTTCTATTTTTTGAAAAAAAAAAGTAAAGTAGAAAATTATTTTCTTAAAGACTAAAATATTTCTTGGATATATGTGCTTACCAACATATTCCTTATTAATTAATTAGCACATCTTTAGGTTGGTTAAGTTTCATTCAAGATTTTTATTATTATATGATAAGTTTTTTATTTATTTTATGTTTACATATTATTGTTTTAGATTTTATATATTACTTTACGTTTTATTTTGCAGAACAAGAAATGATGGTTACAATCATATTTTTGTAGGGTTAAAAATATGTAGGACTTTATTAATTTTGTAGTTTATTTTTCGCATGTAGTGATTTAATATACGGATTAATTTTTTTTTGATATTCTTAATTATATTTAAATCATCATGTTGAATTTATATTAATATTTAATTTAGTGTTGATTAGTTTATTTATTTATTAATGCATAATATTGATTGAAAATTTTAATATGCACATTTTAATTTAATTTGAATAAAATTTTAAATATATATGTAATTGATCATTGAAAGTGTTTCTCTCGATAAAATAATCTTAGTAGTACAGTACATTGATACTTCTCATTTGTCATAATTTGATACTCAAAAGTATTTTTAGAAATAGTTAATCAAACATGATTTGCTTATCTAAGGAACTTTTCAATTGAATTTATCCAAACATATATTGTTTATTTTTCTAAAGCTCATTTCTAAAAGCGTCATTTAAAAAAGAATATTTCTAGTAATAAGTCATTTTTAGCAGTAATGCCAGACAAACTCTTATTCCAAAACAAAAGGAGTAATTTCCAAGGTGTCGGTCAATTCAATAAGAATTTATATATAATAATAATAAAAAGAAACATGGACAAGATAATGTGACACACTCTATGACATTCATTTGAATTGTTTTTCTTTTTTCTTGGCTTTTTTTCATATTTAATTTAATTATTGTATTGTAAAAGTAAATTACTTAATTTATTACAAATAAACATTTTATTATGGTTGAACATTTAAAAAAGTCCCTCGGACGAGGAAAGAAGGGGCTTTTGATCGAGATGGGTAGAAGAAGCACAACAAAAACTCTTCACACATTCTTTTTTTATTTGTTTGCCTTACTTTAAATCATAAAATGATAATATTATTTAATTTGTAAGTATCTTTGTCTTTGATATTTAATTTATTCAAGAGAAGTTATTACCTATGACTTACACCTCTTTAATTTTTATTTTAATAATGTTTATAACTCCCATATTTAATGTCCATAACATCCAAACTTAAATTTGTAAGTTTACATTGTCTTATGATATTTCATTATTTTCCCTATAGATTCATATTTATTTTCATGAAGATTCACATTCATGATTATCCTTTATCTTCTTCATCATATTCATTGAGAATGTACTAACAAATAACAAAAAAAGGAGTACAAGAAAATAAGAAATATTTAATTCATTCTCAAGTTTTTTCTTATATCCTCTATTTTACCTATATAAATTCATATTTAGTTTCATGAGCGTTCACACTCAAGATTATTAATGCTCTTCATCAATATATTTTTTGGTGACATGTATCAAAAAAAGTGCATGAAAGTAAGATATATTCTATTCTTATGTTTTTTTTATATTTATTTTCATTCACTTTGGCATGCTTTCTTAATATTTTATTTCTGTATGCATTATCATTCACTAAGCAAGTATGATAAAATAAATGACCTTTTTATAATGATTAATGTCTTGGCAGTGTATAATTGTCCTTTCTAATAATCAGTTTTCAAGATATAATGTATTTTAATTATAATATTTGTTAGTAGATTTCAAGAGATAATTATCGTATAGTATTGTTAGTACTATTGAAAAATTAATATATATATATATATATATATATATATATATATATATATATATTAAATATAGTTTAAATTTCTTCTTTCTTTTATTATTATTATTATTTTAAATTGGTATATGATATTTTATTTATTCATATTTTTTAATTCAATTTGGTGGTACATGATGAAGAGTTTGACACATGAAGCAAAATGACGGCGGTTTTACTTGCTAAGGAAGATAGTAGAAGGGAAAAAAGAAGAATAATTAGAGACTATTTTTGCTAGATTTTTTTTCTTTGACTTGTATTAGTTACTTAGCTTCTTTTTGCTTTAAAAAAATGGTTTGTATAAATAGTGTTGTTATATGTTTGTCAATGCTTATTATTTGGTCCTTAGCATTCTACCTTTTTTTTAAAAATTATGAAACACAATTAATATAATTATCTACTTTAAACAACAAAAATATTATGATGATTAGGATTTTCATTTTTATTATACTCACAAAAAGTAATTGTAAAATAGAATATTAATTTTTTTACATATGTAACAATATATTTTGTCGCTGTTCTTTTTTCGTTTGAAATATATTTATAATGTTAATGGAGTAACCGATTATTATATTTATTTTTTTTGGTTTATTTTTTTTATTTCTAGCGTATTAATTCTGTTTTGAAGTGAAAATTCAAGACCTGAATTGTGAGTCACGGGCAAAGACTCCAACAGGACATGACTTATTTTGATTTATTCATTTTACAAATAAAATCAATGCATAATTATCAATGTATTCAATGTCTGGTAAAATAGCATATTTGAATTATTTATAACTCATGTCTCTTCATCTTACTAGTAACTTATGATCATAAATATCGTCCATAACTACTCTATGTTTCATTTTTCATAATTCCTATAAAAATATAATTATTGTTTAAAAAATTGTAATAAACAAATTTAATATTAATAAAAAAATTAAAATATTTTTTTACGAAATCAAAATTTGTAATAGAAAATAGTACCTTTACAAAAGATAGAAAAAATTAAAATATATGTAATATTTTTAATATAATACAATATATTGTTATTTCAAAAATGAGAAAACGTTTTATATCACAAGAAATATCAATATTAATTATCTTATATATAAGAGATTAACAAAAATATAATATTACATATAATTATCTTATAAATATTTTATATAGCCATAGAGAGCGCTGATGATTTCACTAGCAAAAATCAACATAAAGAATTCTATCTTATTCATCGTATATTTATTGCTACTTGTCTACAACGACTTTGCATTCCACTTCAAAAATAATAAATGAAGATTATTTTAATCATAGAATTCATATTAATTAATGTATGATTTCAATAAACTTGAAAATACGAAACTAATAGTAAGGATAAATATTATTTTCTCTCTATCTTTCTTAATATGCTAATTTAAATAGGGAAAAAGGAAAAATATACCCCTGAACTATCGTGAATAGTATATAAATTCCCTTCGTCATACTTTACATTCATTAATACCCTTGCCGTCCAAAATACAGTGCACATTTGCCCCTTCCAATATCAGAAAAGTTATATGGTACATGTGGTGCAATCCTACAACTCTACCCAATTTGATCAATTATTTAACCCAAAAATCCATTTAACCCACCCACTTTACTCATTACCCACAGAATTAAATCCACATCGGTTCCATGATTATGACTTTACCCTACTGGTTATCATGGTTCAAAAGGTAAATTCATAATAATAGAATTGATTTTCAATTTCTGATAGTCACATTTTTCTTGCAGGCAATGACTATGATGGGTCTTTATAATAATGCTTAATGGTTATCATGGTTCACATGGGAGGGATTCATCACACTTCTTTCTTCTCTTCTCACAGTTCTCTTCGGCATGATGTTTCAATTTTATTTTTTCTTCAACAACAATTTTGCGGTTGTGTTTATTTTTTTTCCTTCTTCCAACTTAATATGGTTCGTCTTTGCCGTTCAACTCAACACTTTCAGCAATTACAATCTACATTCATTTGCAACTTCTAATGAGGCTATATTACTTGAATATTTTTTCCACTGAGATAGAATTTATATACCAACTATATTAAATCTTTAATTTTCGACAATCAACGCCAACAAGAGTTAATTCAGTCAGCGTCTTCTCATATCAATCAAAATTTATGAGATCTAATCGACATATTCTCGCAAGAATCTGTTGACCCACTTGCTATTCCTAATGTTTCACTCACTTCCTCCACTAATTTTTGCCTCTTTTTGACCCCCACACTTCTCTTCTCTTTATGTTTTTTTTTATGATTGTTGTTGCTATGCTGGTAGTGATGTTTTGCGATTGACACTAGGGATTGGTGCTTGGCCTCATGGTTGAGTAAATATGATTTTAAAATTACTGATCAACAAGTTATTGGATTTTGAAACTTAAAGTGTAAACTCAACTTTTAATGAGTATGGAAAATTAATCAAATTTTATCATCTTTGATGGGTAGAGAAGATGAATTAAAAGAAAATGGGTTTATTTGAGTGGGAAATGGATAAATTAGGTCAGTTAAAAGTGTAATGTGGCGGGTATTTGAATTCTGAGATAAATAAAGGGAAAAGGAACGAATTTATCCCCGAATTTTAATAAATGGTACGTCTATGCCTTCTGTTATACTTTGCGTCCACATAAGCCCGTGTTGTCCAATTATAGGTACACATATACCCTTCTCACTAACGAACTCTTAATTTTTTACACATATTTTAATCTTATTGAACTACCCATTTGACCCATTTTTGATCCATAAACCAACTATTTGTCCCATAACCCAATACACATTCAATTTCCTATAATATAAATCCTAATTAAAAGACTCAAATTAACAGATCCCCAAATATTTATGCATTCTCACCACGACCTCTACCCATTCCACCATCCTTTCTCATGCTTCCTCTACCACCACCTCGAGGACGACTAAATTCACCACCTCTTTGTTGACTGTCAAATTTTCAAGGTAAAGTTACAAATGTTATTCATGACGAGGACATAATATTCACACTAGAAAATAGCTGAAATTGAAGAAATAAGACCAAAAGTAATATCCATATCAAATTAAAACAAAACTTCATTGGTATGGTGTACATCCACCAGTTGCCACACGTCTTGAAAATACCATCATTTTAATGCTAAACATCTGGATGAGAAAACTGTTTCTGCCATAAGAATAACTGTGGCGTAGTGGCAAAATTAAAATTTAGGACTTTTAATTAGGATTCCTTTTTAGAAGAAAATTGGGTGAATATTAGGTTACGGGGAGGATAATTGGTTTATGGTTTTAAAAAAAGGGTCAAATGGGTTGTTCAGTAGGATTAAAACACGTGTAAAATATTAGTGGTCCGTTAGTCAGAGGGGTATATGTGTACCTATAATTGGACGGCAGGGGCTTATGTGAACACAAAGTATAACGGAGGGTATAGACGTAACATTTATTAAAGTTCGGAGATAAATCCGTCTATTTTTCCATAAATAATTGATTAAATCTGGTAGGACAATAGGATTGTGCCACATGTACCATAAAACTTTTCTCTTAGTGGGAGTGGCAAATGTGCATTGAATTTTGGATGGTAGGGGTAATAATGAACATAAAGTATGACGAATGATATTTATATACCATTAACAATAGTTCGGGAATACATTTATCTTTTTTTCCATTTAAATATACTAGCAAAAGTAAGACTATCTTTTTTAGTATTATGAATACTTTCACTAATGAGTATTCTTGAACTTAATTATTATATAATATTTTACATTTTTCAAAAGATTACAAGAATCATTTATTATATTTCAAATATACTTATCTACTGTGGCGGAGTCAAAAAGTTCATAAAGGATGTTCAAACTTTAAAAGAGTGAATTTTTTAGCGACGTGGTTGCACAATTTTTTTAAAAGTAAATTGCTGGAACTTTTTTCATAATTTAAAATAAGTAAACTTTTATTGTTCAAGAGAATTGTTAGGCTCTTAAAAGAGCACGCTAACCATTGGATGAAAGACTTTTGTTGTATTTAAGAATGTTCATTTATTTATATATCACATAATAATTTTTTTTTATCTATATAACGTTCTAATTTTTCGACGAAGAGCGTTGGGCTAATCATCCTTTGTCAATTGTAGCTCCTCCCCTGCTTAATCTTTTTTAGTTAGCTAGTGAAGTGTTACTGAAATAAGATGTTTTTAAAGAGATAAATGGTACTTTTTATATTAAGGAATTGTTAATTTTTTTATAGTTAAAAATAGGTGATTTTTTCAAGGTTAAAGAAATTATTGGGAATTCTTTTTTATATATATATCTATCCTTTGTTTTAGTTAGGTTTTAACCACTTTATATTTTCTAAAAAAATAGTTCAGATATAATAAAAAAAGTAATAGAGGAAAATAACCTTTAACTATTGTCTTTAAATGTTTTCTTTAAGGGATGTATTATACCCAAAACTTCATTTTATATAAACTAGAGGAAAACTATTTAGGTAAATAGCTAATAATTAAGGTTACTTTGCACTTTTACTTTTTTTTTTGGTATTTCTAAACTATTCTTCTAGAAAATATAAAGGCATAATGCATAAACATAATCTTTAACTTGACGTTAGTTGACAATATGATTTTTAACTTTGGTTGCACCCAAGTAGACACTTAAACTTGTATAAAATTGAACAAATGGACACATCTTCCTACATGACACCCTACATTGAAATTGTGTCCTACATGGCGTCTACATGTATTGTGTCATGTAGGACACTTGTGTCAACTTGTTCAATTTTGTACAAGATTAAGTGCCTACTTGTACATATTCAAAATTGGAGGGCATAGTTGTTTGCTGAAGACATGTTAAGGATCATGTTTATATATTATGTCAAATATATATTAATTGAAACTTCTTTAAAATGAATCATAATCATATGTGAGAAATTCCCTGTAATAAAGATTAATAAAACCTAATTCTTAGCTTTGTTTAAATATATAATTGATGAAAATATTATTTTTTTTTAAAAAAAATAATAGAGTCACAACCAACAACAATAGTGTGAGGTTACACTCAAATTTTGACACTTGGATAAGTAAGTCCATTTGCGCATTTACCTCCAAATCACCAGTCACCACCCCCACCTAGTTCCCCCTTATCTTTGCACCCCTCTATTTTTTCGCAATTCTTTAAAAATTGAAAATGTGAAAAATAATAAAAATCTATTTTTTTTCTTTTCGTAAAAAATGTTAAGACCAACAGAGCACAAATAATAACTTATTATAAATTTTTTATGTGCAACCATGAAGGTTTAAGAACAAGGCATGTACATTACATTGTGAAAAGAAGCGAAAATTGAAGAAAATTGAAGAAAAAAAAAGGTTGAAGCTCTCAATATTCACTCGGTGATTCGCCGAGTGAACATCTAGCTCGCAAAAAGATCTAACGAGTTTGTCTCATTAGCTAATCCAACTCGGCTAACTCAAGAGCAAAATTACACATTGTGAAACCGATTCAGCGAGCTCGACTTATCTCGCCTAAATGAAGAGAACAAGTAGAGAATGAAGTCAAGTCCAATCAGCAATAAAGGACCAAACATCGAGTCACCGAAGTTAAACGACGAATCGCGGAACCAGTGTGTATCCATTTAAGTACCATTTGAGCCTAAACTATTTGTGGGCGAAACCAAAAGAAATTCTCTCGAACCAAATTGCCCTTACCTTCTCAAAATAATATCCATTTTGAAGCATTGTTATGTTTGAATAACC